ATTGAAATGCTACGCCCCGATTAAAACCGATAGGCCGCGAGCTTGGTGACTCAGATAGTAGAAACTTCCACTTAAAATGTTCCATGACCAGCTGAGTCTGTGGCGAACGGCCAAAATGCCTGTCACCCTTCGTTCTCCATGGCTCGCTGCCCCGAAGTCATGCGTCGTCACGAAAAACTACCCCAATGCTTTCTTTCACTGGCGCCCCCGTCCCAGAGGCTTAACCTCGCAGCTGCTTCTGCCTAACTGTTAATAGCTGCGCTAGCATCCCCCTGTCCTTCGGCTTTCCGGCGACCCCCTCAAGTGACCTCAACTTATTCAGTCACGCACACACCCGCGCATACACGTGCGTCCAAATAAACACGCCTGCCTAAGAGCCACTTGAATACGCCACCCCTCAGCCGATTCAGCAAATCCCTCTATAAGTGACGTCCCTTCGGGCAATTGTAACACACCAATAGCAAACTACTTGAATTCGCTTCACAGTAATGCAAAAGTTAGGTCTGGCTGGACGCAGTCAACACTAGCTCTGGCTTTGCCAGTGGCCACTGCCGCCTAGGACAGCAAAAGGGAGATCTGTACACTTCTTCTGGCGACTTCTGCCTTTTCACCTTCAACCTGGGATTTGGCCTGATTATTGTACTGCTCTAAGAGCAACCATTACTTAGACCGCTACAGGTCCGTGTTCAAACCTCTGGGCCCAGGAGAGGGGGGTACGCCTACAGCTGGGTGGTTGAGGACAGCAACGGGGCCTTTCCGGTCTCCCTAGTCTCTATTGGCAAACTTCCTTAGCTAAATATTCCTTCGAGCGATGACTACAACCGGGTTGACATTCGGTGCCTAGTCTACTCCATGCGAACAATTATCTAGCCTGTTTATCAGGCTTATTTAGCATAACGTCCACCATTATTTCGAAGGGAGACAAAAAGGGGATATCCCTAACCTTTTTTGCTAATTTTAAAAGAGTAGGTGACGTGAATTGTTTTTATGGAACGTATTATTTGATCAGTATTCTTAAGAGATAGAGAATACGGAAGGCAGGGTGCTGACTGTATTTAATCATGCGTTATTTTACTTGCTCTGCTTGAAAAGGCTAAGAGCTGCCCGATTTTAAAAACCCCAATCTACATTTGGAAGTCAAATCGGTTTGACAACGCACCTACCGCAACCACAATGCCGACAGTGGGCAAGTGGGTATTGTTTGTTAGGGCTGTGGAAATTGACTTTTTGGCAGGGAGTTGCATTAAATGACGCTGTCTTAACCTACCGCACTGGCGACATTTTAGAAACACACAGCTTAACAGATACAGCCCAGGGAAAAGCAGTAGAGTAATTGCGGCAGAACTCAACAGCCGTTTTGGATAGCTGCCATTTGTCGGCTTCCTCTTGCTGGAGACGTCGTTACGCACCCAGGAGAATTCTGATTGGTGAAAGCTTATATAAATCAGCACGAAAAGATCATTTCACAGTAGACGCGGTGGATAGTGAACGTAAAATAGTTTCGACAGATAAGACAGATCTGTCAGTGATGCAAACTGTTAGGTAAGGCCTTATTCACTCCTACCTGATTGGAAACTAAGCTAGGGCAAAATTAAAGTTGGCCACCAACCTTAGATACCCCTAGCCCCAATATTCTGTCTGCACTAGGAGTTATATTGGTGGAATATATTAGGGGAAAGAAAAAATAAATTAAAAATTAGAGCGTATAAAAGCAGAAAATAATGAGAATAATTTTTTAAATACCTATAGTTTAGCGCGCAATAATTAACTTGATAAATGCAACTAATAGGAAATAAGAACCGTGCTAAAGTACCCGCGAATAGGATATAATCCTATATCGACTCTATATCGAAATTTATAGATTAAATAAAGCCACGGAAGATAGGCTCATTTTTTAAATTCACAGTAGCTTCTAATGCATTTGGACATATACTGTAGTACGACAAGACGAAAAGCAACCGCATGTCGCTTAAAAAAACAGATGAAACTAAAAATTCACCTAAATAAAATTATAACAATAAACTAAAAACTAAACTATAACTAATAAAACTAAAAGTATCCGCAGGATGGTAAAGGTTTCCGTGTTGGGGGAGGCGCAATTTTGAAATGCGGATAACGGATTCTGTACAGCAATAAACATAACTACGCCTACTGCAATGCACATGGTAGTTATTTGAGTATGTTTATCTAACGTTGGTGAGCAATTTAAATCTTACCCTAGCTTACCTGGAGTTCAAACTGAAGGCTCTTGCCGCGGAAGTCTCAATGACCGTTCGAGTATCTAGAAAGCATCTAATGATACTGGACAGTTTGGGAATGGGTCTGTTTTTATCTCTGCGAGGAATCAAGAATAAGGATTACCTATTCGGCTTCATGATCGATTGGAGCTTGCTTTTCTAAACCAAGAACTCATTTCGGTGAGGTTGTCTCTAGAGGTCTTTTTGCGTCCTTATATCTACCTACTTAAATTTTTAAGTAGGTTGAATTACCTGTACAATTCTGGTTTTTGTTACGCGCTATCCATCGATCTAGCAGGGATTTTCTGATGGCATTGGAATGCAG